CCCTTCCCCGTCTCCCCCCCCCCCCCCCACATCTTGTGGGACGATTCACGGTACCACAACTCCGCCGGTGGGTCCGTCGCGTCTGGTCCCGGGGAGACGGGCACTTGAGAAATGACCCAAGTTTTTATCACAAGTCTAGGAAATGTTTTGAGTGGTCTTAATCAAGAATTTATCTTCCCGTCAAAGAATTAGCCCTTGTCCGTTGGACATACGGGTGAATGCCGAGAGAATTGATTCAACGTGTGTGGTTTCTTAACAAGGAACAACAAAACCGTCTGAGGCTCCCCGTCAAATAATTGGCCATGTTCCGTCCAAATGTGGGAGCAGCGATTGGCCAAGTCGAACCTTGACTAATGTATTATCTTATGCCATCCTTTTGTAATTTGCAAGGATAACTTGTTTCATTCCATAACGCAGTAGCCTAGATTACTTCAACAAAAGACCAAAAGCCACACCTTATTCAGACATTTTTGGGTGGTCACATTAGGAGGTCACTCCTGTTCTTAGACATATTCATATACTTTAAGTCATTGCCGTAAATGAAATTGTAAGATCCTTGTAACATAATCTCTTTAAGTTATTTAGTCATTTTAGTTTATTTTAATATTTGCTACAGACTAATTTTTCGGGAACAACAATAACTCAGAAAATACCTTCAAAATTGAAACAAATATGTACAATGCAATTAAAACAAATTTCCATTTATTTGGATCAATAAAGGCCTCTTATCTTATCTTATAGTATCTTATCTTAATTCTCTTTTCAGAAATTTACCAACTTAAATGTCAAAGATAATTTTTTTTAAATTTATTTATTTATTTATGTATTTTAAAAAAAAAAAATTTAGTGGAAGAAAAGTGGGGGGTGTGGTGGTATTAATTTAAATGCATGCCAAAGTTTATCCCTGATATTTCTATGATATCTTGAATATGATTTACTTATCTCATGATGTAAATGATTTTGAAGATATTTAAGGCATGAATTTTTTTTAAAAATAATAAAAGCATATTCGAGGTTGAAATTTCTTTCTAAAAGTTTAGAGCAGGGTTCTCCGGTGTTGGACATTGTTGTGTCCACATCTAAGTTGTAATTACTCTCACTTTCCATTGGCTGACGATTCCTACACACAAACACGTCATTGGCTGACGATTCCTATACACAAACACGTCATTGGCTGACGATTCCTACCCACACACATGTCATTGGCTGACGATTCGTACACACAAACATGTCATTGGCTGACGATTCCTACACACAAACATGTCATTGGCTGACGATTCCTACACACAAACATGTCATTGGCTGACGATTCCTACACACAAACATGTCATTGGCTGACGATTCCTACCCACACACATGTCATTGGCTGACGATTCCTACACACAAA